ACAAAAAAAGACCGACATAAAATGAGCTAAAACGCAGGAAGCTACTAAGATACAGAACACAGAACATCGTTATGTCTAAGGGATGTCAAACATTGATGCCCCTATAATCCTTGTTCCTTTACTCCACAGGAGAAGCCATTTAGCAGCACAACTTGCCATGAATGCATAATTCTGTTCACTGTTTGATTGCCATCCCTGTGTTGAGTTTTCCAGCCTCCAAATTTCGAGTTATGATCTTCCAATATGCACTATGAATTTCACACGCTTCAAAACTTGTCCTTCAAAATATCCTTTCTCAATCATCTGCGCCGACTAGGTGATCTGGATCTTGATCTCCTTTCCCTGCCAAACAAAGTCATGGAATTAGTGAATAGTGAGCGTTTAAGATGTAGGAATCTGGCACTTTCACCTGAGCTGCTCATTGTTATGTTGATGATTGTGTCCCATAAACATAAACACACTCTTAATTTTACAGACTGGCGCCATACCTGATGGTCTCAAGAGAAGAATAGGGAGAATGCCTGCGCTGAGAATGCTTGCTATGAGGTGACCGCGAAACTTGTCTAGAAATGAAAACATCCATCATACTGATTGGGTGAGTTTAATATACATCACCTAAGAGAAATGCTTAGCCTTGTAGAGAGTCAATAACAATAAGAATGAGCTGCCAGCATTTTCTTTTTACTTAAGGATCCATATGACTAAACACCAGCTATTATCACTGAAAGTGAAACTATTGACAGCATCAATCTAATAGCAGATTCACACACAATATCTGTAACTCCTAAATTGATCTCCTCCACAGACTTTAAAACCATTAGCAATCCCACCAAATGAAACCCTGGCTTGAGTTTAAGGGTTATAACCTCGTATACGTACAATAATTCAAAATAATAGTAAAAGAAACCACTTACAGAAAGTATTTCAGTGTAATTGACCTCTAATGAGTGATAGATGGCTTTAACAATTAAGATCCTTTACAGGCTAAACTAAAACTCAGTTTAACAGGATAAATAAAAGAGAAAGTAAACGACATATAATTGATCCCTCTGTAGAAACTCAAATCAATCTTGCTCCACATATCATGAGAAAGAGAAGACCATTAACTATAACTTTTGTATAAACTGAACATAACCACCTAGTATTAGTTTCTAAAGCACCATGTTTCCCCAGCTCAAGAGCAAAACAGAGACAACAATTTAACCAAGGAAATGTCACTAACCAGATAAAAGAAAAAGCTGTAACGTCCAATAATAACAAACAAATCAAAACCATAAATTTACCACAGATCATGGCAACAATCAACTGATACTAGAAGACACCATACCCAGGCAAACCATCAAGAGCCAACAGTAAGTAACAAGTCAATTAACAAACTTTTTGTGAGGGCACTTGCACCAAATAAAATGAGATATAGATTGCCGTATACTGCATAGCATTGCAAACTAGCTCACTAACTTTTACATGAGATTATGTTTTTCTAGATGAAAAATATGACAGCTATGTTTTAAACTATTCGTCCAAAACTAGTTAAAGTTGAAGATTACTGACTAAACTTCTTTTGCTCATAATGGATTATGGACCAGTTTTTATCTCAGAAACATTGTAGACCTTGAATTTAATAAATGGCACCTGTCAAGAAAAATCCGATATAACGAAACAAAGAACAAAAATAAGCACTGTTAACTGGCTACCTTCTCCTAGATCTGACAGGAGACGGCGATAAGTTCCGTTTTCTTGAATACGGCTTCCTGTAGCAAAGAACAGATGATTAAAGTTCAATAATACAGCTAGATAAAAGCAAAAGAATAGATAAATCGAACTGGTTTACCTTTTGGAATCATCAGATGCTTCATCACTAGAGCCAGTGGCATGACTGACAGAATTGTCCTTGCTGGTTCTTCCCCTGCTGCTGCTAATTGAAGAAGAGCGTCTTCTCTTGTGCCTGCCAGAGTCACTTGCAACTTTATTTCTTGATCTACTTCGCTCCTTTGTTCCTTCTCTTTTTCTATCAGCATCTTCTCTAGAACCAGTCCTATGGACCTTCTCTCTGCCTTTGTCATCCTTCTTAATATCAAGATGATGACTGGCCTTTTTGCTAGATTCAGACTCCTTAGCCTTCTCACTAGATTTAGTACCTTGACCTTTCATTATGTCTTTAGAACCATTCCGATCATCAGTCTTCTCCTTTCGTGGGTGCCTTTCGTCATGCTTTCTATGACTTTCTTCTGCTCGACTCCTACTGATATCTACCTCCTTCTCAAAGTCTTTCCTAGAACTCTTCATACTTTCATGTTGATCCCTTTTGTCCAGTTTCACTTTACTTTCCTTACCTTGAGAATCTTCTATTGTCGGCTTTTCCCCACCAGCACTTCTGCCAGAGAGTTCAGCTTCCATTAGGTGTTTCTCCCTGATAATATCATTTGATCCACAGCCATTATTTCTATCAAGTACTTTTCCACTATCACCATTATCTTCATCACCTTTGTCCCCAAAAGCCACCTTGGAAGAAGAGACATGGTCACTTGATTTTTTACTAGTGGGCTCTGATACACTGTTTCTGGTCAAATCAGCATCCATAACTCTCTGTGCATTACCATGCTCAATTTCGGACTTTGAACCTCCATTTTCAGAAGCATATTTAAAAATCTTATCAACTTTTGACCGCTGAAGAGGAGCACTGTTCTTGGAATTTGTCACAGTGGAACTCTGGATCTCCTCATCTCCATCATCAACGTCATCATCAGAGGCATAATTTGCAAGACCCAGTACATCTCCAGGAGAGCTAGAATTAGACTTTTCAGTGGCACCTTCAATTTCAGATTCCTTCAGTATAATTGGACCGAAAATCTTGGCAGCCGCCTTTTGAGTGGGCACATTTGCAGGGGGAGATGTTGCTGTATGATTTGATGCAACTGCATCGTGATTAACTAAAAGGAATCAAAATTTGACACCACAAAATTGTAAGTAGAGAAAAAATTCATGCAGTTCGAAAGTTGCACCAAGTGTGATGAATAGAAGTTCAGGAACCCTTATACAACCTATAAGGTTTAACATTTTCTTAATATCTTTTCCTACTAAAATGTGAGGCGCCATTATTTGATCACTAGGAGGTAATCAAACTGAATGTTTCAGGTATTTATTTAGGTTTGTTTTACATTACTTATCGAAATTTATTAGTTAATTTGCTATTGCAACAGTTCCCTAGTGGGCTGTTGCAATATTTCTGTTCCACAAAAATATCCTTATGTAATTTGAAATGGATAATATTCTGGAACAACAATAAGTATATTATATTAGTAAAAACTTATTTGCTCTTCTTCATTCCTAAAAAACTTTATCTAGGCTGTGAACAGACCAACCATTAAATGTGGTATATATATATTCTTTTGGAATGAAAAAGGAAAAGTTATATTGACACAGCACCAACCACCAGCACTTAGCCTGCTTGCTTAGTGCCAACCACTTTCACAGAAGTGGTCTCTGTTCAAGCCCGGTATGGGCAAAGATAATTACAATAAGCAAAAAGAAAAAAGAAAAGAAAAGAAAAGCACCAAGGAGATACAAATCAATCAACCGTCTCTAAGGTCCCTAAAATAAATCTAGGATAGAATTACCTTCAACCATCTTATCTTCTTCACTAAGGACCTTTGTGGCAATTTCATCAAATAGTTCATCTGTAACCTGCTCATAACAGGAAATTACAACTGCAATAAGCAAATGTTTATCTAGGAAACCTTTAGCTTCCAGAGACCACTGACCTTTAAAAGAACTTCAGTTAGAATACGTTTTATTTCCTGGTTAATTGCTGCAGTTCTAGCCGCTTCCACATAATCCTGCAAAGAGCAAAGAAGCCAAATGCTAAAGTGAATTTATATGCAGTCTGGTAATTATATAATAATATCAAAAGAAAGTCCTTGAAAGAAAATCGAAGAATCATAAGGTAAAAGAGAAAGAAATGAACCTCATCATCATCATCCTCTTCCTCAGTCGACCTAGAAGAATCAACACTTTTGCTATCTGCTTGATCTCCCTTTGTAAAAGATTTATCAACACCTTCATCATCAATGGATTGTGCTTGCTCTCTAGAATGCTCTAAAGACGATTTAGTAATTGCAGCTTTGTTCTTAATTATTTCCTCTTTAAGCCAATTAGGCACAGAAGCCTGGAAAACACTCAATTAGGAGGAATTCAACGACAAGTATAAAGGTGTTTATGCCTAATCAGAATAAAAGCATTATACCTTTTTTGGACGATCAGAAACACCATATGAGTCACCTGGAAAGGCTGTAGTCGGATGAAGTGCATGTCCTCCAGTTAGACCAAAAGGTGTTCCAGTAGATGGAATTGTAGGCTGGAAAGTTTGACCAGGCAACCTTCCAAATGGTGGTGCAGCATGTCCAGAAACAGGAGGTACGATAATAGATGAGTCATGCTGAAAAAAGAAGCAAATATCAGACCATCCAGATAAAGGGAAATTGAATAAAACAAGTGATAGGACCAGAACCAAGACCTGTGGTACTGATGGGATAGAGGAAGGAATTGGAGGATAAACTACACCAGGTGCAGGAGGAGTCCAAGGGCTAATTGAAGGCACTGATGCAACAGGGTCAATTCCTCTAACAGTTCCCATTGGCTCATTATGAGCAGCATAACTTGATTGCACATGTGGATCACAATTAGGATTATACCTAGGAGCAAAATCTAAAGGCTGATCACTCAGATTAGCTGTGGTATCAGCTGAATGATTGCTGTATATGTAGGATGGCTCAACCAAAACTGATCTACCAGCTGCAGGCAATGATGGCTGCTTTGGATGCTGCCCATCCTGATCTGAGGAAATGGGCAAAGATAATGAGTTGTATGATTGCTCCTCTTGATTTGCAATTTCTTCCTTACCTGCCATTTGCATAAATTTTCACATATCTAAAAATGAAAAAACAAACCCCCATAATCAATTTAAGTTTATAATAAGCCCCAATAATCCTCTCCTTGAGTGTTAAAAAGATAACTTCAAAGTTTCTGCACGCATTCTATAAAAAAAATTAGGCCTCAAATTTTCTAAAATATGAAGTAATAAGTAATCCTCTCAAATGTTTTCCAATAAGAATAAACAACAGGTTTTCCTTATTTAGCACACTGATTCTGATGGAACATAATTGTTGCTTAGAACTTCAACAAAAGGAGGCAAGTACATCCGAAAGCCAATTCAGATTGCCATATCTTTAGTTACAGCAGTTGATTAATCCATCAGTAAGGAGATCATGTTGAGGCTAGAATACGTTCATCTTGTTAGCAACCACCACATGAGTAACTTAGCTCATTGGAGATGATTGACAAGCTCAAGAAGAACTTTCCACAACCTGAGAACAACTTAAGTTCAAAGAACAATTTTCAACATGTCCTTTTTCCAAATTCTTTGCCATTGGCTTCCTATAGATTTGGAGAAGATATTTGCATCCGTTCCTCATCATCAACCATTGAAGACAAGAGAAATATTATTTAAAATGCTGCCTCGGCCATATCCACAATTGTCAATCTTAATGAAAGTGATATTTCAAAGTTTTCATTAACAAGAGACCTTTAGCAAATAAAACCACTGTCATTCATTCACTAAAAGGAAGGGAGAGAGAGAGACATCTACTATGATTAGTAGTTGCTTTTTCCAGTGCATTGATGAACATCTTTTATAAGAAAAAAGAAACTAACAACTGCCCATTATGAACTAAATGGAGATGCTGAATCATAAACAAAAAATAAAATTGCAAACAATGTCCAATACGTTGGGTGCACATAGGCATACGAATTCTAACAGTTGTCCATCAAGGTTTTAAGGATCTAGACTACAGTGGGGTTAACAGGAACTTGTCAAAGGAATGAAAGAGATTTATTTCATATGACAAGGAACTCCTACTTATCATAGATGCTAAAACCAGTAAAAATTTATTCAACTTGGGAAGATTGAAGAGTTAGCAGAGGATCTCTAAAACTAAATGGTAAGAGCTTTACTCTTTGAAAGACAATTTCACTTACATGGCAGAAAAGCAGCAGAACCTGTACGCACTTAACATTTACGAAAAGGTAATTAAAATATCAACTACGCCTTCTCCATAACTAAATTGGAAAGAGCCTAGACCAAAAGAAAATAGGAAGGATATGCAACCAAAGATTCTCATCCTATGGACTTTAATGGTACAGTCAAATTTTTTATTTTAAAAAAAAGGTACAATCGAATTTCTCAGTCACAAGTGAATATAAAAAAAACTAGATATTTTACGGTTAAAGAAGTTGAAATTAAAAGATATGTTTTGAGCACAAGCCTCACAGTGCAATCTTCTATGTGATTACCTGGAACAGAAGAATAACTAGAAGGTACCTCCTGCTGATGAACAGATGAACTGGCAGATAAGCCTTCTTGATGGGAAAATCCAGCTCTGGATCCTCCAGCCAAACTTCCATCTCCCACAGAGTATGATATATGCCCATCAGGAACATAAGATGGTCCAGAGCTGACAGGTGTAGCATCCTGTGGATAAACTATTGGTTGCCTAGGTTGAGTTGCAGCTGGAATCGGAAATTGTTGATAGCCTGATGCTGGAAGTGATTGTTGTGGAACTTCTAGATAATGAGGATCAAAAGACTGCAGAAACTGATCATGAATGCGATTTTGTTCTTCTGGTCTGCCAACTGGTTTGAATTGAGATTGTGCATGCTGATCCTCCATAGTAGCTTTAGCAGCTGCCCATTCTCTAGCTCTGGCACCCCAATCTTCTACGTTGTTCTGAACTGTCACCACAACAGGCAGCAAATATAAAACCGAATATCACCAGCAATTTAACATCAAACGATGCTCGCACACGTGAACATTTTCTTTAGGGTGTATTTTCAAAGGAAAAAAGAAACATTTTCTTTACGGCAGAGGTAGCTGCTCATAAGCTAATAAAAACCTAAACAAAACTAAAAGAAATATGTACCACATAGAACAGAAATGTGTACTACATAATCAGTCTTGTGTACAAACCCTAGCAGTCAAGAACACTATATTATCGCATAACCTATCTCAACCATCTCATACGACATCCTAAAAAACTTCTTTTATTTAACTACATGCTAAATCATCATGATATTATGATTTAGCTCCAGACTCATGGTTGCCACGCTATCTACAAAGTGGAAGAAATACAACCAATGGCAACAAAAGCATTTTGGACTCCCAATTAGATTGCCCAAAGTGCAACTAGGATTAAGCAAACAAACCTGGATACTCCCAACCTGGGTGATGGCCCCAATTTGGATTGCCCCATTCCTACAAACATATACATCAAGTAAATAATAAAATCGATCATCTCTAAAGGCAATTTCAAAAGGCACAACCTACAAAACACGAGCAAACAGTACGGAAACGAAGCCAAAAAGGAGAAAAAAAAATTTATAAAAAGAAAAAGCAACCAGCCCTAGCTCCATATTCAATATGTAATTAACCATGAAAAATGAAGAGGGAAAACCCAGAAAAATATAGATTTTCTCGATTCAAATAAGAACAAATATGAAATTATTACTGGATTGACCTGAGGGTAAGGCTGGGGAAGCTGAGAATGAGGCGGGAAGGAGGGACGAGGAGGCGGAGGAAACGGGGAATTGGCAGTGGCAGCGTTGGCGTGGAAAGGGGGTTGGTGCGAGTGTGGAGGATAAGGGAGAGGAGGGGGTGGAGGATAAGCAGAGGAATGGGACTGAGGGAGATGGTCGGAGGGAGGAGGTGGACCCCAATGGTGGTGGGGAGGTGGCGGCGGTGAAGGAGAGTGGTGAGGATACTGAAACTGGTTGGAGTACCATGAGGGGCCCGGCGGTGGAGGCACCGGCGGCCTCGCATGCGGCTGTTGCTGCTGTTGATACGGCTGATGGGGATCCGACGTCGACTGTGGCGCCGGCGGTGGTAGCCTCATGTACCTGTGAGATTGCTGATATGCGTCCATGTTTTCTTGGGTTGTCTTCTTTGGTATTCTGGGTTGGCCGGGATAGAAGTTTTCAAGTGAAAACGGATTTCATTCAAGAAGTGATTACTTCAGGTGGGAAACCAAGGGATGCAGGATACTCTCCCGTACGACCCACTGTCGAAGATTCTACACATGGGTTCTTTAGGAACGGGGAGAAAATGGAAATGGATGAAAAACCTATTTTTCTGATGTATTAAATTGGTCACCGATAATTAAATTAAAGGGATTAACAAAAAAAAAAATGTAAAGAAGTAATAAGAGAAGAAAAAGAGAATGATTATGAAGATGGGTAGAGGGAGAATAATGAAATGGGCAAAAGACTGTTCTATAAAAACATGTTCAATTAACAAATGTTTTGTATCTAAGGTGATACAAATTTGAATACAAACTGGTAATCTGGTCGGATCAATTTCGATAAATTAGTAAAATACAGAGAGATGTTTCAATAATACCAGAAAAATAATCATGTAAAACTAAAATATTTTAAATAGAATGTGAAAACGAAAAAATAAGAAATTTTGTTAATGTTTAAAAAATTAATTTTTTATGAAACATGAGAAGTGAATATAAATATAAGTGCCAAAATATATAGACAGAGCAAATTGGTCCTCCTTATACTCTTGGGTCGAATTAGGTCAAAAGTTTTTCAAAATTTTTTTTTTTTTTTTTCATTTTCTTAGATTTAATTTTTAGCCTTTTCTTTCTAGTTGAAAAAGAAAATGTTTTCTTTATATATATATACATATATTTGCAGGCATTCAGCTAAATTTCCTAAAAGAAACACTCAAATAAGCTGAAGCAAAAAATGGCCAAGTATAGTAAGAAATTTTAAAGGAGTCTAAGCCTTATGAAAGAGGAACCATACAATTTTTGATACAATATACTGAATTCAAATATTTGATTCCAAAACAAACCTCTTGGTCAAATAATGCAGAAAAAATGAATCAATCTACTTTTGTACAACATCGACATTTCCCATATGAAAACCTTTCCACTGAGTAATATTGTTTCATGTCAGGATCATACAACCTGCTCTGTACTAGAACCACTTTGTAAATTGATCACTATAATTACAAAGGACAAATTACACAAATTGATTGCAATCTTTGTTTCTGCAGTTTGACAAGCAGTTCATGCTGTTCAGGTAACACTTCAGTGTATCATAAAAATGAAGCAAAAACACCGGTTACAGGATAGTTTTGATCACCCTCTAATTCCATGATTTCAAAATTCTTGTTTTTGAATGTGTATCTGCTGTTAAATGTTGAAATCGAGCACTGTATCAATTCAGAAATATATCAGGGAAAAGGAAAAGGAAAATCTAGTGTGAAAATTTGCACCATGATCATGCTACAGCATCAGCCTGTCTTTTAGTAAGTCGTGCATATAGGCCATCCTTACGTAGAAGCCCTTGGTGAGAGCCCATCTGTTTGTTGGAACAGGAGTTAAACTAGTGTCATACACTTCCAAATATTAAATCTTAAAGATGACTAATCAGGATTTTCTAAGTGGTCAATAGACATCTGGTTCTTTGTTAGTCAAGCTACCAGAAAAACATTCTAAACCAGAATCTTAACCTGAGAACTTCCCAATAAATGATGGACAAAAGTTTATGAATTCAAAATGGCCATGGCACCAACCTCAACTATTTGACCACCATCCATTACCACTATTCTGTCAGCAGCTTGTATTGTAGAAAGCCTGTAGGAAATACATGATAAAAGTTCATACTCGCAAGAAAAATCCAGTGACCTGGTATTGCAGCAACTCAAGTTGCTTGTAGTATATTTACTGTTGGATTCATGACAAAGTGCATTTATTGAACTTGCAAGTAAGAAAAACTAGTGATTTGGTTGGTATCAAGTCACCATAAAATGCATTACTCATCATAAAGCCACTTAGAGTGGATATAAGAGAACCTACCTGTGTGCAATTACTATGACAGTTCTTTTACTTATTGAGTCAGTTCTGAGAGCGCGGAGAACACCCTGAACAAATTTCCACGCGATACACATTAAGGGCCACAAATCAATACCTCTGTGTGTCTGTTTAAGGGGAAAAGTAGTTACCTTGACATAGTGTTCACTCTCTGCATCAAGTGCACTAGTAGCTTCATCAAGAATCAAAATGGTAGGGTCCCTAAGGATAGCTCGAGCAATGGCAATTCTCTGCTTCTGTCCTCCACTTAGCAAATCATCATCAATAAGTGTCTTATAACCATTGGGCAGTGCTGAAATGAAGTCATGTGCATATGCCTGCTTGGCAGCCCACTCAATATCCTCTTGCTTGACATCTCTGGTACATCCATATCTGACGTTTGAACTGATATCCATGTGGAACAATTTTGGTTCCTGTTTAAAATAATTATTTTTTAGGAAATGTAAGTTGAAGTTTGGTTAAATTTAATGATAATGGTAAATGCAAAACCTGTCCAACATATCCAATTCTTTCTCTCAGCCACTTGATGTCCAACTCTTTTAGAGGGAAACCATCAATTAGAATCTGCAATTAGAGAACCATAAACAAATAAAAGTAATTATTTTTAAGCAATTGAGCTGGACCTGTTCTGTAAATAATCTTTTATCACCGATTGTTGATGTGTGAACTCTGTTGACCATATCACTTATATATAGATTATGAGATGCTGACCAGTAAAAGTTCAAAAAATTTTACCTGACCATTTGTAGGTTCATAAAGGCGCAGCAAAAGATTCACTAATGTGCTCTTTCCACTGCCACTAAGACCAACCTTAGCATAAACAGGAGACATAACAATTATTTTTGATGGCCGTTAATGCCAAAAAACAACAGAGCGCTTGTAGAAAAACTTACAATTGCAACCACTTCACTAGGATATACAGAAATGTTTATGTTATGAAGCACAGGTACCTGTTGATATTCTAATTTGTTAGTTCATTGATTGGCAGTAACAAGCAATATTTTCAGCAAATATTAGCCTAATGATGCTAAAAGAACCAAGCAAGCAGAGTAGGGTTGTAGGTGTTGCAAACTTAAATCATGCAATTGGTGGAGGAAGGAATAAAGTTATTAGTTCTAGGAATAATTACTGCTAAATACATTGAAATCTGTTACAATATAGTATATATTTTCCATATAGTCAATTTCTAGTATATGGCTTTCTTATATAGTTAACATTCCTTTTCATGGTTTTTCTTTTCTTGTCATGGGACTTCCTGTAAACCCTATGTATATATCCTTGTTAAGATAAAATAAAAGTCAATAGTATCTTTTCTACAACAAATCTATAGTTAATGCAGGAAAAGAAAGAGGACTTTCTTGTCCTTTCCATCATTTTCCGCTCAAGTAGTACAACGTACAACGATTGCAGAATAAAGAGAGTTGAATTCAGGAACCTAAACTATTAGCATACCTCCACTCTGGATGGATAGTAAAATGATATGTTTACAAAGTCGACACGTCCAAACAGCCGTTCCAGCTTCATTCCTGCAGCAGAAGAAAATCCAAAGTGAAAATTAACCTAAAACTAAAAGTAGATATTTTGAGAAGGGGATAAGCGATTTTATTCGACAACTGAAAACCTTTCTGCATACTAACTCCAGGATGATTATAACAGTTGAAACAAGGTATAATGCTGAAATATTTTTCAAAAGTTATAGATAAATATATACTGGGAGAGGCCGAAGGAATGAAAAGGGCTGATCGAAACATAGAAATTAATTAGAGAAAATATTCCATAAGAACTTCACATGCTGCTTGCCTTTTGATGTAAATTGATCACTAGGCTTGAGATCCATCAACTTGAATACTTTTTCACTTGCCCCAACCGATTGCATCAATGAGGACAAACTATCCCCCACCCACCATGTTGAAAATATTAGCCACTCACTATATAATATAAATTTTTGTAAGTTGCTCTGCTGTTATACGACCAACCAGAATAGACATTCCTCCAATCAGCACAGCAATAACCTAATATATAAATAGAAGATCAGTTTCCAAAACATAAATCAAAGCCAAGTAGGGATAGATACAGGTCCTAATAAAGAGCTATTTCACATGCCCAATATCATAAAAAGTAAGCAACTAGTTCTGTAAATTCCTCCAATCAGCACACAGCAATAACCTAATATATAAATGGAAGATCAGCTTCCAAAACATAAATCAAAGCCAAGTAGGGATAGATAAAGGTCCTAATAAAGAGCTATTTCACATGCCCAATATCATAAAAAGTAAGCAACTAGTTCTGTAAATATCGATCCACTTAAAGCTGGTAAAGACTTAATATTTTCCACTCATATTATCCCTTTATTTATAATAAAGAATTAGTTATCTAGAAATATTATCCTTTAAAAACCAAGAATTAGATCAACCTGAGTTGAGTGATAAAGAGTGTTGAAGTTCAGGTTCCAAAAGCCATATGCAGCACTCTGTCGTAAGCTTATATTAGCCAATTTCTCTAGCCACCCATTGTACCTATCAAAAGAGATGGGTAAGTTTCATTGAACCACTTAACAACTAAAAATCCATATACCTGCTGGCATTTATTGGTTAATCATTGTAAGTTATGCAGGAAGAATTAGAAGAATAGACATAAAAAGGAATCCATAAAGATTATAGTAAATGTAGATTACCTATCACACTCTTGTTTCTCCGTTCCATAAACACGAACAGTTCTCATCAGTGAGAATGTCTCTTGAGCCACCTACATTAATTAACAAAATGATCATTTATTATAGAATTCAAATTCAAGAGAGAATACTAGAATGTCAATAAAGTTTCTAAACTGAACTTCATTGGCGGAAGCAGTGAACTCTTGGATTAGCTTTGCCGTTTTCTTCTGGTACCTACACAAATTATTCATATTCAATTGTATTATTGACATTACGTTATAGCTGAAAGTATCGACGTAAAAACTAGCATGTCTAGTGTAGAATAAAAAAATCTATTTCCATAGACATTGAAACCATAAACAGATCTGAACCAAAATTTCTCCTTCTTAACTATATCAAAGCAAACTGATACTCTTTCAACTTCATTTAGATCCTCGTTCTAACTCCTACTTTTTCTTCTGATCTTATCTTGCAATTAATTCATTGCACCCTCATTTCAGGACACCTATTTCATCATCATACATTTTCAGCAATCAAGCAAAAGTTTAAGGAAAAGTTTTGAGGAAACTGTATAAAAGCTTACAGTCCATAGATGAGCATAACAGCTGCTAGAGTTAAGCATATTGCCAAGGTACACAAACCAAGTGGCCATGACAAAATCAACAAGTAGATCAATGCACCTGTCCCCTAAAATAATCCCCCTCCCACATAAAAAAAAGCAGATTAGATGCCAAAACATGAATGGATTCAGAGGTATTCATTCTCTTAATAGTGAAAAACCTGAAGAACATTGCGGAATATCAAATTCAGATCATTCCCGATAACCCGTGAAACTTGCTGACAATCAGAGCCAAGCCTACTTGTTAAATCACCAACAGTTTCAGAGTCGAAAAAGGAAATATCCTGCAACAGAAGCATCTCCAAAACAAGTTAACCTGAGAAACAAACAACCAAGATAACTAGGTATATTAGAAATTTATCTGAAACTGATTACAAACATTAGGACCTGAAGAAGAAGAGTAGAATACAGTGTTTCCCTCATTCTCTTAACCTGGAGAGCATCGTACAACCAGAAGTCATACACCCTTCAAAAGAATTGTAGCTAAGATGACGGATTTCAATAGCTTCAAAAAAAAAAAAGCAATTTGAATAACAAAAATACAGACTTTATGATGCATGTTAAATATCATATATATGGTACTGTTGCAAAAAGGATTAGCTCTAGGTTACTTAAGAAGCCTCGTAAATTTCTTGATAATTTCACTTTTTGAGACAGACTTTAGTCATTCAACAAAATACTTTGAGAATTACCATAATTTTCTGATTGTCAAATGCAACCAAACTCTTATTTGTGATGCTTAAGACTTCTTAGATATAATGCCTAAGGAGTAGTGTCTAGGTTTTATCTCCAAATCCTAAGGCAATATCAGAGCTAAAAGAATTCTCTACCAATATATATTGAATTCCAAGAAACATTGAGTTTTCACTTATGGAATCCACCACTAAGAATACTTTTGAATCAAAAGAGTAAGTTAAGAATGGATCAACATCAATTTTTGAGACTCCTAAAGAAAAGGGAATTATTTGCTTTAGGTGTGGATAGAGTGAACACGAGTTAATGTCCAAAGAGGAATAACTTGCATGTTGAAATAAACAAAATGTGGAGCAAAAAGAACCACCAATGTGGTTCCTATTGGTCAAGATTCTTTCCTCCAAAAAGACAACACCACAGAAGTTTCATACCAGGAGAAACTTGACGCATCAATTGGTCAATCGGTTGATTTTTATTCTCTTGCCCCAAATTTTAAATACACTTCTAAGCAATTGTGCCTTTTCATTGTTTTTGGTACTTAAGAGAAACTGAAAATAAAGTTTTCTAAGTTTTAGGGGAAAACTTGACGATTAATGTTTTACATCATTCACCATTTTAAAGCTCATGAACAAGTTTTCTCCAACTAGAGAAAAATGATGCAATATATATTATCTCTAGATTGCCCAAATAGATTCGAAAATCATAATTTTATTAAGTATAAAATTACTGTACCATTAGAAGTCTATTATTACAATTTTAGTACTCTAGGATTTTATTCTTTTTACTTTTTAGTTTTCCTATTTATATTAGTAGTATTATTTCCCAACTCTGTCAGTAGTAATTGTCTTAATTCAATCTCATTTAATAAAGGTTACGAAGGAAATCTTATAAATATCTTTGTAGATAAGACTCCAAGTCATTCAATAAGTACCTATCCCTCATTCAATCTCATAATTTGATCTATGGACTTATGTTAAGGAAGATTCATACCAGACTCCAACAAGACAGATTTTGATCAGAAAAACCCAAAGCCAGTTAACACGAGCACTATGATTACTCATCGAAGAGGACCAAGCTGTATGATTTATAAGAAAGAATTATAAAGAATTTACATGATAAAGCTAACTTGAGAGAAGACTCACTAGAATCATATTTGCAATGCCGAAACAGCATCCCCGTAAACCACTGAAGTTCAAATAAAGAGAGCATGGGGTCAGCACCTCTGTCAAATTGTCAATTAAGACGGCTGACCTTCCTTATATGGAAGTCAAAATTCCAGAAAAAAGCACACATTCAAAACATATGGCAAAAAGTGGCATTCACTTGCATAAAACAATCAATATATCCATGATTTCAGAAAGTAACCTCCCAAGTAATATGTAATGAAACAATTGATTTTCATTTTTTTGTCCATCAAGTGCAGTTAGGATGCATAAAGGTCTCTTTTCAATGTTTTGATAAATTATTTAGATATTTGAACAATAGCAGCGCTGGAAAGGTGTCATGATTCAACTGAGAGTAGAAGGGAGCTTTGACCAATGCCCCTACAAGATTTTGACCTGCAAATTCCTGAGGTAACACACAGCAGAACCAAGAGCCGGATATTTCTGTGAAAAATAGCAATTTGACCACTCTGTGCAGTGAAGATTGATGCCGTCAAGAAATGTGGAATAGAAATCTTTGAAAGCTGAATCAAACACAATGACCAAGTCATTAAGAGAAAAAATTTACATAGTGAAGCTAACTCAGGTCATTCTATCTCCCAACAAAGGTTTGCACCTTACATGCAGTTCGATTTAAAAAAAAAAAAAAAACAGGAACAAAAATGATAAAACCATTAGTCCAATCCTGCATCACCTACCAAGACAAACTTTTAAAAGGCAGAAAAAGACTCACGTTCGTTGATCCATTCTTTCATCCTCTATGGATAGTACAATGCAGTGCTGAATGAAATTTACCACATAAAAGGAACTTGCTGATGGGAAGATAACATTGGATAAAGAAAGTTCAACCCAAAAAAAGACAAATGAAACCAGAGTTATAATTATACCAATCATCCATCAAGCTCTCATCTAAACACAATGCTACATATAAGTCATCCAGATGCCCCTACTTATGATGAAATTTGAAGCGAATAATGCCTGAAAAGTAACTCACCACCATCAATAAAAAGAGAAAGTAAACGAATAGGCACATACCGCAGCCAAAATCAGAGTGGAAAATGCCGCATAGATGACCCAGCGATCCTTAGCCACCAATTCCCACATCCGACTAAGCGCCCGCCAAACTGTCACCGGTTTCTCAAAAATCTTGACCTCAATCTCATCGGATAAGCTCCACCACCGTCCACCGGGCAATACCGACCGGATAAAATCGATCCATTTGCGAATCCTCTCCTGAAACTCGACATTCTCTTCTGCGTCAATGCACTCTAGATTATTCTCTACTAAGAATTCACTGACTGAGGAAGAGTTGAGTGGAGACAACCGATACTGCCTATTTCTAGGAGAAGTGGAAAGGTTAGAGAGAGAAAACGGGAGTTTAGTGTTCGTAAATAAACGGAGATTTCGGCGGCGAACGTTTTGATTGTTGTTGATGGTAATGAGTGAAGAGTAGAGAGAAGGCCGTGTGTTGGAGAGAAGCTGGAGAGCCATGGATGCATCAGATTGGAGAAAACACCAGAGTTAACGAACAAGAAAGCTATGACCTTCAGCTTGTTCCTAGTTCTTCTCCTTTCTGGTCCATAAACCAGAAAATACACAAATACAATTAGAGAAATAAGAGAAGCGCCACCATTCCATAAATAATAGGACATGGTTGGGTTGTGCTTTGTGATAAAACTTAAAAAGGGTCCAAAATTAGATAGAGGATTGATTCGTTTTGTTTGATCTTCAACCGTTGGATGAAAGGATAAAAAACGACGTCGTTGATTCTTAGTGACGTGTTTCAGATAATCAATCTTCTATTTGCGTAAGGCACTTCGCAGGCTGCAACAGTTTTCGCACACGCCTCTCGTCTACAGAGCGCCACGTTCGCGCGCTCTTTTGGACGAAATTACCCAACTTCTACAGTGGCGATTTTTTCACCTCATGAGCCAATGGCGGCGAGCTGAAAGAATATTTTGGTCTTTTCAGCATTGTAAGCACCAAAAATCTCTCTCTTCTTGTCAGCTCCAGTTCCATATCCACTTCACTTTCTCTTCCCTTTCTTCAATCTCCGAATTGGAGCCATGGCCGTGGTTTTTGGAAACTTGGCTCTGCTACTAGATACGACGTCGCTTCGGTCGATAACCACGGATAGGAAGACCCGTTCGCTGGCGGTGGATTTTGTTTTGAATTTGCCGAAGAGAGACGCTCACTTATACCACGCTTCTATCTTGAGCAACAGCGTGGACTCGGATGGGGAGACTCGTAATCTTCGAACTTTGGCTCGCGCCAAAATGAATTCCAAGGCTAACGCCGTCGATTTCGACGCAGGCTCCAGTGAAGAAGATGGTAACGGCAACGGCAACGGCAACGGCAACGGGTTTGAGGACGACCAGGAGCTGTTCGATTGGGAGCAGGAAAGGAGGAAGAGAATTAAGGAGATTGAAGAGATGAAGGATTTGGAGAGAAAAGCTGAGGAGTTACAGGATAAAATGGACGAAAGCGAAACCGAGGGGAGAGAGGAGACTGAAGAAGAGAAAAGGATGAGAGTGAGAAAGGAGCTCGAGAAGGTCAGTCAACGGAATCTACAAATTCTCTGTTTCTTTGTTTGTTTAAAAGCAAGAAAATAAAGTACAAACTAACAGACATGATTCTCCTATGTTTCTTCCTTGCGCTGTCATAAATGCTGTGCTCTCATATTTCTTCCATTTGTTACTGAAGAAAAGTGATCGACCAAGAATAGAGAATGTCATTATGGCACGAAATTTGATTAATTTAGAGTTAACAAAATCAAGAATGTTCTTTTGAGTACAACAGGATGTAATTGTGCAGTTTCTGTCAGATTTGAAGTTGATGCTGTCGCATATTGCTAATGGTGATAATCTGATTTTTCTGCTATGCGGGAGCAGGTGGCTCAGGAGCAGGCAGAACGAAGAGCAACTGCTAAGTTGATGTTTGAGTTAGGTCAAAAAGCTTATGGGAAGGGGATGTACGGACGTGCAATTGAATTCTTGGAAGGCGCTCTCACAATTATTCCCAAGCCTACATTATTTGGCGGTGAGGTTGGTTAACCCCCAAAAGAGATCCTTTTGGGAGATGGTTGCAACTGATATGTAATATGATTGTCACTGAACTGATTAAAATACTTTGGTTTTGTTTTTCAGATCCAAATTTGGCTGGCCATGGCTTACGAGGCAAATAACCGCCATGCAGATTGTATTGCACTTTACCAGCAATTGGAGAAGAAGCACCCAAGCGTCACCATTCGACGCCAAGCTGCTGATCTCCGCTACATATTGCAGGCTCCTAAGCTTAAGATATCTCAGGAGGAAATGGTAACCATACCTCTAATTGGTTCAAGTTATGACAGGTACTTTTTGTCCTCCTACCAAACTCAATCGTACGGCTTGATCCCTTCTTTCTCCTTTTCATTCTGCTGTAATTTCTGTTAGATTTTCTATTGAAATTGAAGTAATCTTTTGTGATGCTAAATATTATGTGCTATTTCCCTTATCAGATTTTTCCATTGAACCTATCAGCCATTCAGTTATGATCTTGATGTATGAGCTTCATGCCTCTGCATCCACTTTTTGCATTTCTGACGTGTATGAACTTCTAACCACTAGAGAATGTTAATTTCAGGTTCCTTTTTCTTTTCCGATTGTTTGATTGATGGTAAAGCATAAGGTTGGTTGCAGTCTTTTTCATTGTTACAGAATTTGCTTTATACATCTTCTAAAGCTGTGCAAATTATGTGTTACCCACCCAATTTTCCTGTGCCTATTTCTGTTCATCTCACTTAATCTTACTTCTGGAATGCTTAGATCTATATGAAGCTGTAGCCTAAATTATTTTCGTATAATTTGGGAGAGATTTCTGTTATGATAGATGGCTGACTTAGAAAAAGAGAGGAGGGGTGTGACTAAGAATATTATGTGATCGTCACCGCCTTAAAACTGCATTACTTTTTTAGATGACCATATATAAACATAGATGTCAACTACATATTTCATTTTGCAGCTATGACTTTAAAGAATTGACCATGATGATTAACAAAATTTACAATTTTCAATAGAAGCTTTTCTAGGAACTTGTGGAATAGTAGCCTTTTAGATTCTTGCTTGAACTGTTCTAACCTTGGTATTCAAGTTCAGTTCTGATTCTTTACTTCTTTCCTCCCCTGATCAACTCTTCCAAGTGGTAAATCTCCTTGCGGTTGATCGATACCCATTCATAAGTTATGAGATTAATGGCCTTGTCTAGATGACTTAAATCCCACTCTTTCCACATGCCTTACCGAGCATGGAGCATCTTCATCATGTTGTTTCTATGTCCCTGGGTCTAATCATGCTACAGAATATAGTTTTTAGAATTTGCTCGATTGTCTTAGTTTTGCATCAGGACCAAGGATTAATTGTGCTTGGTATATTGGGATACAATATTTGAGAATTTGTTTCTAATAACTGCATTGGGTAGTAATTGGTGAGATCAAGAACGAAAATGTAAATCAGATATGATTATCAAATCATCCCTGTAAAAGCTGCATGATGATTCCAATGGTGTTCCATTAGATAGCAACCAACTCAATAGATATTGATAAGTCTCAAATGGAGTAATACAATGGAAAATATTTCATTCGATAATGATCTATTTATTCTAGTTTCAAAGTCAACAGTCTCATTAATTTTCATGAATATATCAACATCATTGCAAACTGACATTACTCCTGAAAACCTTATATTTACTCATCTACTTTAGATGAAGCAACACCCTGAATTATTGTCTAGGAGATTGAAATTTGTGATGCCTTTCAACAAGTGCCTTTGTTTGTCAGTGTAGAGATTTTACAGAGTTAAGAAGCTGTTTGTTGTGGCAACAGTTTGGATTGGATTTTTCTTTCTGAACTCATAACCTAGTTCTGATGTGTCCTATTCAAACATTGGAATACTGTCAAAGGTGATATTTTGAAGCTGTTCGAGGACTGGTAGGAGATAGGTTAGTTTGTGGCCAGCCTTAACATTTTCTTTCTTGTGCTACTTCCTGAGATTGAAGGCACAGGGAATATTAAACAGTTTAGACCAATCAGCCTTTTGAGTAGTACCTATAAGTTAATAGCCAAGGTCCTTGCTATAAGGCTGAGCCATGTGATAGTTTATGCCATAAGGCTCAGCCACAAAAGGCCCAGGAGATCTTTGTGGCTGGGAGATAGACTTTTTAGCATTTAGGTGCTTCCTAAATTTCCAACAAGATGGTGGATTCTGTTTAGAAACAGGGAGAGAGCTGTCATTTACTTGTTTATAGATGTGGATCCATAACCTGCAAGTTGAACATTGAAAAAGGCTAAGACCATGTGTTTCGGTCCAGCACCTGGGGTTTAGAGATGAGTGGCTTGGATGGATTAGCAAGTGTTTCTTTTCAGGATCATTTGCAATTATTAGTAATGGGGGTCCTTCTGATTTTTCTTTGTGATCAACATTGTTCCTTCTGCTTTTTTATGGTCATGGAAGCCTTTAACCAAATGATACTCAAGGTGAGGTAGTTGAACTTGTCCCAGGAAATGAATATAGGTGAAGGGAGCTACTATGGAGCTCACTCATATATTTTGTCGATGAGCCTCTTTTCTTCTGCAACCCTGGCTGTCAAGCTCTTCTCAACATTTGATGCATCCTCATATTTGTATTTGGTTTTTTTCCTTTTTTTTAGTGGCAATTTAAGAAAATTTGAAATGCCCACATTGGCAGCAGGCTGGCTGTGGGGGTAGTTGCTCGAATTTTCAGGTTTTAAACACTAGTCCCTTCCTCCTCAAGTACCTTGGCTTGCGCTTAGGGGCTAAATTAAAATACAGGTAGCTTAGTGAAATGAAGAAGAGATTGGTAGGATGGAATAGTAGTAGTTTTTTGCCAAAGGCAAAAAACTGTCCCCAGTGAAAGTACTCTCTTGAATCACACCGTTCTTATCTCTTTTTTCCCTCTTCCAGTTAGGATTCTTTGCTAATTGGAGTCTATTTAATATAGAGTCCTTTAGCGGGATTCGGAAGACCAAACTGCTTTATAGAGGTGGCTTATGGGTCAGATTTGATTGGGCTTCAGTAAGGCCTTACTTACTGAGTGGTTGTGGAATTATTAGTTTCTAGAGGCAGCTTGTTGGAGGATGATTCACATTAATTTTTTACCTTGCTGAGGGGGTTGGATCACTAGTTCTTGTAGAGGTGCTTTTGGTTCTGGCTCTTTGAAATTGTCAGTGAGATTTGGGGCGATATGCTTGGACTGACACATTTTAGTTTAGGTAACAATCTGATGGTTAGATTTTGAGATTATTACTGGTGTGGAGATCAGCCTCTGAAACTTCTTCATTGGATGCTGTTTGTGTTTCAAGGCTCAAGAAGACGGGTTGGGAATCTTTTTGAGGAATGTTCCTCTTCTTTAAAACCTTAGTGATTGAGAATTGGAAGACCTAGCTTCTTGGATGCCACTTTGAATGTAAAGACTGTTCAACCAACCAAGGAGGAAGTTTGACGATGGCAAATTTTTTATGAAATCTTTCTACCATCATTTCCAAAATGTGATGCCCAATTCCCTTGGAAGCTGATTTTTCAGACCAAAGAAACCTCTAGAATTGTCGCCTTTAACGAGGAGGCAACATGGTATAGAATTCTCACAATCAATAACTCGACGAAGAGTTGTAGCAGTAGCATTGTCACTTACAGATTTTTGTGTCAGAAGGAGAACGAGTACCATAGGCCTCAATATATGCTCCTTTGGTGTTTTGAAGCTAGAAAGCTATGAGATTCTGCTCTCAGCTTGCTTAACATTAGATAGGTGTTGAGGCTACATTTTGGGGATGAGTTCTGGGTGTGGCTGGTATTTGGCTAGCTGGGAACAAGAGCAATCATGTGCCCCTTGTCCCTCTTGCTACTGTTGTTTAGGTCATAATTTGGGTGGTAAAAGTTGATTTTTGGGACCTTACTGACATTTTAACACTTTCTCTTTTGTAAGTTTTTTGGTGCATGGATGAGCCTCCTTCCTTGGCTTTTAATGGATACAGCACACCTCTCCTTTTCACTCAGAAAATAAAGCTTATGAGAAAAAGCTTAAGTTAAGACTATGTTTGGAACAAGAGAATTTTGTTTCTAGAATTCATTTGAAATTTACATAATGCATCTTAAGTTCTATTGGTAACGAAGTTTAACATTATTATCTCAATTTCTCTTGAAGGTATTTGGGAGCTCAGTTATTGTCTTTTTGTAAGAAATCTATAGTCTCTAATAGTTAAAATAAACTGGATTTTCAAACGAATCCACAAACATCCAATCACAGCCTAAAAAGAACTTACTTGTATTTGCATAGTTTGTTTTCTATCAAAACCAGGTGCATTAACATTCCATTGGCATCTAACAGTAGCATTTCATTTATCTGGTGAAGTAAATGGTGAGTTGGAATGTATTTTCTGCTTGATTAGCACATTTGGTCTTTTGTGTTTTCAATTCTTTCTTCTCATGCACCGGGACCTAGATACCTTCATTTTGAAATTTTCAGTCGTTGCAGCTATTTGACTGGATGTTATTTTGTGTCTTTTAAATTCCTCTGATGTGCTTTGAGCTAAATTACATTGAAAAAAGAAAAAAAAAAATTGTTGACAAATTTGTCACTGCATTATTGTTGCAGCTATGCAGTAACATGGACTGACAAATACAAGGATAAGGATCAAACAAGAAGTGGGTCCACAACGAATCAACTCCCATCATCTAAGGATTTTTTAGCGGACTTTCTGGTGTGGCGACCTCCAGTTGGATGGGAGAAAAGCAGAGGTTTCTGGGTGGCTGTTACACTCTGGTTGTGCTTGGTAGGAGCAGCACTGATTCTAGAAAGGTGAAGAAGGCATACTGCATGTACAATATTTGTAGTTGTTGATTATAACATATCAATTGAATTGTTTTTTCTTGATTGTGGAAGATTATGTTTCACAATATTGTATCTATCAGTAATCACTGTAAAGGAGACAAGGAGAATGATTATTTTATTGGTCATTGGTCTCCTATCATGTGCCAAGCTAATTCTTCCTTGAAAAAATTAGTTATAAATGTATTTTTTTTTTTTTTATAATAAAGATAACAAGTAGACATGTATTTGGTTTCAGTCTCGTGCCGGTCAACAAGGTATTGAAGCTTATACAACATTGATACTGCCTATAAGTTTAACATAGTAATTTTCGCCCTACATGTGACTTAAAAAATGTTTTATTTATTTGATGGCTTAAGATTAATCATAATTAAATTTTTATTGTATTCATGTTATTTAATCTTCCACCCATAAATTTATTAAAAATGAATAATAAAAATACTTTTTTATTTTAATTTTATGAAATTTAAGTTGTTACTTTTTTATCATTTTAGAGAAGAAATAGTTGAAAATCAGAAATAAATTGGCACAAATTGAATTAGTTAGATTTGTTTCAAAGATACCTGAGATATCCTCTTGCCCTTTAAGTCGGTGATCCGTAGTTTTGACAAAAAAATTTATCCTATAATCATTTCAATTAAGAAAAAAAAATATTGTATTTGAATAAGAATTTTTTTTTTTTTTTTTTTTTTTCCACATGCTAATATGTAGTGGACGAATTTATTTTTTACAAGCAGGGTCAGATGAAAGACTTGTCAGCCACACCGAGTCGGACAACACCGATTCATCATCGTCGTTCCTGTGCCACGTCCAGAGCGCATGCGTTGCATTCACCACCTCAAATTCCCCATGTCCAAAACTTGCTTCTCTGAACATTGATATCTCCGGCTTTGGCTCCATATACCTACATCAAATATTCACAAAATTCAGTCCCCTCTACCACTCAACAAATACTAAACTAATCCCATTATTTATTATTATTCTTATCATCATTACTTTCAGTACAAGCGAATTAATTTCACTCACTTTGTAGCAAGGCCTTCGCGGTTACCGCCGTCTCCAATGGTAATATGCACTGGACCGCAATTATCAGCTTTGTCTTTGTATACACGAGTCTGATATTGAGATCATCACAAACTAATAAGATCATAATGAATACATATATTAACATATATACAGTATAAAAAACAGAGCTTACAAATCTCTCGTACGCATGAACATGGCCGGCAAATACGACATCAACTCCAGCCTTATACACCAAATCTTCCATGACCCGCTTCATATCAACAGATTCAGATTCTCCTTGATGAGCAGTATTAGAGTTATACCAGGGTGCATGAATAACCAGAGGGAGCCATGGAGTTTTGGCTCTATCAACTTTGGCTAGATCAGCCAGTACCCACTTGTACTGATCCGAGTCAGGACCAAAGTCAGTGTATGAACCCAAAACGACGACGTGAACAGCACCGCCGGCGACATTGAAGGAGTAGTAAAGATTAGAAGAAGAGGCAGATTGTTCAAAGGGCATTCGCCACCTGGCGTTGTAGGAGGTGAAGGGAGTAGAGTGGACGACAGGGAATTTCTCCATTTCGTGATTGCCTTGTGTCACCATCCACGGCCTTTGACTCGCCAATGGCTCCACTAAACGCCCAAATGAGTCCCACAGCGACTGAACCGTGTCCGCATACGATAAGTCTCCCGGAAGTATTAACACATCATAGTTGGATTTTTCTATGTGTTCCAGAGTAGACTTTGTCCATTCTGTTTGCCCAAGATCGCCTGCATTCACATATATAATATTATATGTACAAATTATGAGTATATAGAGGGATTACTAGTATACCTGAAACTGCGAATTTGAGGGGAAGATGGGCAGGGGGAGTTTTGAAGGTGTATTCATGGCCAGGATTTGAGCCGCAGCGGTAGTAGTAAACGGTGTCCGGTTTTAGAGGACCGATGACGACGTCGTGAATTTCTCCTGATTTATATAATAAATAGCGATAAGAAGAGGTAGAGCCGGTGGCTGAATTTCCATAAACCCCTGGAGATGTGCCGTAGTCCACAGTTGCAGGTGTTGGGCCATCAGTTATCCATGATATTCTCATTCTGTCTTCACCCACCAGAGATATATGTACCTGCATATACATATACACGTATACAAAAATTGTAAGAGCGAGATGGTCTGAGAAGGGAAGTAAATTGAATTACCTGTTGAGGAGAAGTAGAATCAGAATCGGATGGGTGGGCGACAACAATATTTTGACGAGGAGGAGGACGTTCATAAGAGAAGACACCGTCAAACAAGAACCCAACAAAAACCACCACTATTAAAATTAATATTGTTCTTGTATTAACAGCCATGGTCATGCTCGTGTAGTGATGATGATATTTACTAATGAATAACTCCTCAACAATCTCTCAAGAAGAAGAAGAAGAAGGGTCTCTCCCAGCTCCTTCTGTTCTATGGGTACTGAAAAATATATAGCTAAACTAGACATCTCTCTTTGTCTGTCTGTAAATATAATAATACAGTTCAGAGTCTAATATGGTTGGAAATCCGAATCTTGTAATGTTAATTGCTAATTAGTAAATATAGAAAGTGTATCTCAATAGGCAGATCTCAGGAAGCGACAAAACGGGGTTCAGCTTCTTCCTCTGTAGGAAAATCAGGAGGCGACTAACATGGAATATATATATGTATATATGTAACGGCCCCGGAAAATATTAAAATGAAATGAGTATTTAAATATATCGAATGCGGAAGCGAGATCAAAATTTCATTTAACATCCCTTACACGAAAAACCAAAAACGTACTTAAAATATAAAAGATTAAACTAACTAAGAAAGAAACTCGAAAATAAAACTATGCGTATGACTACAGAGTCTCTAGGCATCCCCTTCGTCGTCCTCCTGCGGAACGGGCTCGGGAACCATGTCTTCCTGATCTGAAATGGTTAATTAAGGAGTGAGCTACACTAGCCCAGTAAGAACATCACGATATCTCACCGTCACGGAGATAAAGGTGGGTAAAAAATCACAAAAAGACCAATGGAGCATAATTTACAATAAACTCGTTTATTAACATGAAAACCTTTTATCAATAATAAAACTTTGACCATCCACTTACCTTGGTGGAATTTATGAAAACAATATGAGAAAAACAATAACATCATCATAATCATTGAATAATCTAAGCTGTAAAACATAACACTTATCACGCCTCTTGTAATTCAATCATTGTACAACATATCTTTTTCTCATTTACCAGCCTACTAGTATCCGTGGGGGTCCATAGGGGTTCCGCTACCCGTTAACCTTTAACATTCATAATCAGTTTCCAGGGCCGTCCCCATACCCCGTCCGGTATGGGCGCCAAAACCATGAACCTCAATACCCCGTCCGGTATGAGGGTGAAACGGGCCGTCCCCATACCCCGTCCGGTATGGGCGCCAAAACCATAAACCTCAATACCCCGTCCGGTATGAGGGTGAAACGGGCCGTCCCCATACCCCGTCCGGTATGGGCGCCAAAACCATAAGATCTCCATACCCCGTCCGGCATGTGAGACCACAATCCCGGTAGGGTTCCCTACGGACCCGGTCCGTCCACCATCTCCCAGGATATCTAGTCAGGCTGACCCCCATAATACAATTATCAGTCTATACAATCTTTCATTTTCCTTTTCCTCAATCAACATCATCAATTCACTTTTAAACAAGCAAATCGTAATTCATACCAACAGACAACATACAATATCAGTTTTTTTTCAGTCATTCAACCCATAATTAATAAAAACGTAGTATATGCACACAAATCTGTAAAATGAACACATCAAACCCCATAATGCATTTAAAGCTGTAAAACAGTGTAAAACAGGCCAAATAACAGTAAATCATCAATCACACTAGACTCGGGCTCCATTAGCAACCTTAAGCAATTTCACACATGCGTTAATTCAAGAAATACCGTTTTATCATTTTGAACTTTAATACCGTGATAGGAAATAGGGTGAGGGGTCCTTACTTGTTTTCGGGATCCGAATACGATTCACAGTGCGCCTGCAGGCCGTCCCTAATTTTCCCTGAGTTTTTCCCGGGAAACTGAAACACACTAACCGTACCTGCACGTGTTCCAAAAAAAATCCAAATTAGGCCCAGGGCCTCTTTCGGCCCAAATCGCAACTCCGGCACGGCGGCTCCGCCGTGCTCCGGCGACGGCGCCGCCGCTGGCGGCGGCGAGTCACCTCGGGTTGACTGTTTTCGGCCGTTTTCGGCCGAATTCGGCCACACTCGCATTGGTCCTTGTCATAAAACAACCCTAGGGCCCTCGGGGGGCCAAAAAATCACGGAAAAACGGAGCTTACCGGCGGCGGCGCTCTCGGGTGCAGCGGCTCTCCGGCGAGGTTCGTGTTTTGGTGATTCGGCTCCGGTCAACCTGTAGAGAAAAGAATGGTGATCACGGTGATATAAAAATTGCATCGAACGGAGGCCGGGAAGGGCCTCGTCGGAGGCAAAAACCGAGAGGGGGCGCGGCGGCGCCGCTGGGCTTCGGCCGCGTATTCCGGCCGTTTGGCCGGGATTTCGGCTTCGATTTGGCCATAGGAGGAATCAGTGGGGAAAAACGAGTCGGGGGTATGAAATTTACCTCGATCGGCGGTCGGAAATTTCCCCGGTGCGGCGGCGAGCGGCGGCGGGTGGCGGCGGTCGGCCTCTGGTTCGTCTTCTCCGGCGAGCGGCTGGCGGCTAGGGTTTGTGGTCTGGTGTGGGGGTTCTATTTATAACCCCTTGCCTTTTGATCACAGCCGTTCATTTTGTTTTAATCTGGGCCGTTCGTTTTTGATTGAATCTGGGCCGTCCGTGCGATTGAATCTGGGCCGTCCGATCGCGTGATTGATCTGGGCCGTCGGATCGCACCCACGCGGATCGCCAACGTGGCTCCTTTCGGAGTGACGCGATCTTGCCACGTGTCAGGCCCTGGTTGGCCGGGACTGCTGACGTGGCTGCTGACGCGGCTGCTGACGTGGCCCCCCCCCCTTTTTTTTTTTTTTTTTTTTTTTTTTTTTTTTTTTTTTTTTTTTTTTCCCCCCCCCTTTCCGGGGGCTACAACTCTCCCCCCCATAAAGAAATTTGGTCCCCAAATTTGCCTCATTACTCTTGATCAAACAGATGAGGATATTGGGCCCTAAATTCTGATTCCAGCTCCCAAGTCGCCTCCCTAGGTGTGTGGTTCTGCCACAAGACTTTTACAAATGATATTTCCCGGTTACGGAGTATTCTGCTTTCTCGGTCTGTGATACTGACCGGTACTTCTTCATAAGACAAGTCCTCTCGGAGTGAAAGCGGTTCATGAGCCACGACATGAGAAGGGTCCGGATTGTACTTGCGCAGCATGGATACATGAAACACATTGTGAACCCGGGAGAGCTCAGGGGGCAGTGCAAGTCTGTAGGCAGTGGTACCAATCTTGTCTAAGATTTCAAAGGGTCCAATGTATCTGGGGTTTAATTTTCCCCTTCTGCCGAACCTACTAATTCCCTTGAAGGGGGTGACTTTAAGAAACACACGGTCACCTTTCTCAAAGGCCAGGTCTCTCCTCCGGGTATCAGCATAGCTCTTTTGCCTACTCTGAGGTGTCTGGATGTTCTTCTTGATCTTAACTATCTTGGACGTGGTTTCTTCCACCAAATCCGGGCCAAACAATCTTCTATCGCCCACTTCCTCCCAACAAATCGGTGACCTGCACGGACGCCCGTATAGCGCCTCGTATGGGGCCATGCCGATGCTTGCTTGGTAACTGTTGTTGTAGGCAAACTCTATCAGGGGTAGGTGGTCGTCCCAATGGCCTCCGGAGTCAAGGACACAAGCTCGGAGCATATCCTCCAGTGTACGGATTGTCCTCTCTGATTGTCCATCGGTTTGGGGGTGGAAGGCAGTACTAAGGGACAGCTTTGTTCCCATAGCTTGCTGGAAACTATTCCAGAACCGAGAAGTGAATCTGGGATCCCTGTCGGACACCACTGTTACTGGGACCCCATGCAGTCTGACTATTTTCCGGACATACATTCTTGCCAACTTGTCCAACGAATCAGTCATTCTGATGGCCAGGAAGTGGGAAGACTTAGTGAGTCGATCAACAATTACCCATATGGCATCGTGTCCCGATCGTGCCTTGGGTAGTCCCGATACGAAGTCCATAGTGATGTGTTCCCACTTCCATTCTGGAATCGGTAAAGGCTGAAGCAACCCCCCTGGGCGTTGATGTTCTGCCTTGACCTGCTGACATACCAAGCACTTAGATACAAAGTCGGCTATATCTCTCTTCATCCCATTCCACCAGAATCGGGGTCGCATAGTTTGGTACATTTTTGTACTTCCTGGATGCATGGCGAACCTTGAACTATGGGACTCTGTCATGATGTCTCTTTTTAATTCATTGTCGTCTGGGACACACATTCTGTCCTTGAAACGAATCAATCCGTCGGCAGAGATCTGAAATTCTGAGTTTACTCCTTGTTCTGCATCCTTCTTGCGGTTTACTAGGGCGGGGTCGACTGACTGGGCTTCCTTTATTCTTTGGATTAACTCGGGTTGGACTGCTAGGTGGCTCAAACATGTGGCCCTCTTCAGATCTTGCAGTCGAACCTGCTGCGTAGCCCCAATGGACCTGCATTCCGAAACCATCAGATGGGCTAGGGTGCCTACACTCTTCCTACTGAGGGCATCGGCTACTACGTTGCCCTTACCTGGATGGTATAGGATGTCACAATCATAGTCCTTGAGGAGTTCCATCCACCTTCTCTGACGCATGTTGAGATCCTTCTGAGTGAAGATGTGCTTCAAGCTCTTATGATCGGTGTAGATCTGAAAGGTCTCTCCATACAAATAATGGCGCCAGATTTTCAAGGCGTGTATGATTGCGGCAAGCTCCAAGTCATGGGTAGGATAGTTCTTCTCATGATTCTTTAGCTGTCTAGACCCATATGCTATAACCTTTCCATGCTGCATCAGGACACAACCCAGGCCCAGATAGGAGGCATCACTATAGACTGTATACCCTCCTGATCCGCTCGGTAGAGCCAGCACGGGTGCAGTAGTCAGTCGCTTCTTCAATTCTGAAAAACTCCTTTCGCAGTTCTCATTCCAATCAAACTTTGCATTCTTCTTTGTGAGTCGGGTTAGAGGGGCCGCTAGACTGGAGAACCCTTCGACAAACCGGCGGTAATAACCCGCCATCCCTAGGAAACTGCGAATTTCCTTAACTGTTGTCAGCCTTTTCCAACCAAGTACCGCTTCAACCTTTTCGGGGTTCACCGACACCCCTTCCTTCGATATAACATGTCCTAGGAAGGCGGTTTGCTCGAGCCAAAATCCACATTTGCTCAACTTTGCATACAACTT